CAACACGCACTTGCCAGTCGGTTCCCTAAAGGACAACCTATTATAGTGTACGAACCGTACTATAAAGTACGACAAGATATGTCCGAGGGGATTCGAGTCGAGCAGCCGATGGAGATGATCCCGTGGAGAGATGTACCCAAGAGTTTGGACTCGTGGAAGAGGCTTGGCAATGATTATTTCAGTGTTTTAAACACTGCAAACGAAGGCCAAGGCGCGTTGGCGTGTTATGAGAGAGCTATTCAAGAGGTGAAAGCGGATGTAGCCAATATCGCAGTGCTGCTGAATAACATGGCTACATGTCGATTCAAGATGGGAGGCTTTAGAACTGCAGCTCAACTAGCAGGAGCAGCAGTGCATTTGGATCCAACGTACGTGAAAGGCTGGTTTCGCTTGGCTTCTGCACTTGCGGAAGTTCCTGAAGCTCAGAAAGTAGCAGAACGTGTGGTAGCTCATGCACTGAAGACAATTCCGAAGATGGCTACAAAAGAACGGCGACTTTTAGAAGGCACGATTAAGACTGACCCGACAACTGGCACGGAATCGTCGTTTAAATCATACGTGCAGTGGTGCGCAGAGCTGGAATCTCCTGGATTTCTGTTAGTGACTAAGGATATTATCGATGGTTCGAAAGATGTGGATACTTGGCGTAAACTGGGTTCAGATTTTTTCGTCAAGAGCGATTATCAAGCGGCTGAGGAGTGCTACAGGAAGGGAATGGCAGCCAGTGCGTCTTGCTGTCGTGACGTTGCACTTGTATTGAGCAATGTTGCTGCTGTACACTTGATGCTCCACCATGAAGCCAGTGATGTCCCTGGTATCAGTGTGGGAGGCAGTGCGTCTGACAAGAGTGACCACGTACCGAGTACTGAGGCTGCGCTATTGAACTGTACAGTGGCGGGGATAATTGACCCATTGAATCACAAAACTTGGACGCGTCGAGCTCGATGCTTGGAGAAACTGGGTTTTAAACAGGAGGAGTGTATCCATGATTTGAATGCAGTTCGAGCGAGTGTTGTGTCGAAAGCTTTCGCATCAGCGGAAAGTAGAGAGCGAGTGCAAGCGTTCAAGAGCAACATGAGCGCAGAAGTCGAGCGCCGTTCACAGATTTCCGAGTCGAAACCTGCCAAAGTTTCGGATATTTCGACAGACACTCAACGCAAAGAGCGTGATGCTCTGCAACCAGAAAGTATCGCGGCTATGGCGTTAAACAACAAGAGCAAGGCAGAGGAATCTATTGATGAGTACATTGCTCGGATGGAGTCATTTGAACAGATGGTGCGTTTTGGATTCGCCGCGTCAAAATCCAAACGCCAGATAAAATCCATACCTCGCGAGTGGAAGATGTTTCTGGAGTATCCGCCTCCTCAAATTCACGTTGAGTTCCCAAAATTACGAGGATGGCCAGAGGGTATCGACCCTACGTTCGCTCAGAAAATCCTTCATCGCGCATATTTAGATGCCAGTGCGAATCCATGGATTTTTGCAGATACAATGCGTCAAGGAGCGTTCTATGAGCACATGGACCCTTCTGAATTGGTCAAGCGCTGGCATGGAACAGAAGCGTTGGAAGTTCTGCAATCTAAGGGCAAATTTCTGAAATATGGCGATATCATCGACGGTCGCACGTCAGAAAGCGATGCATTACCAGCGTACGACGCTCGTATCCGCTCCAACTTCGTCAACAATCCAAATCGAGCGGAAGTCTATTTCTTTGGATCTACGCACGTCGCTATTGGCTTTAACGATCTCAGTAGTTTATTGTCCGCCAAAATCCAAGACAAAACGTCGAGTAGCACTGGACCTCTGCGGTTTGAAGGCATTGAGATGAGTGAGTTTGCTGTTGCTAAGTGTAAGGTGGTCGCTCAAATGCTCGGATCACCGGATGTTTCGATTGCCAGTGTAATGGAGGTGTGGCTATCATCGACGTGGAGTGAGACCACGCTGGCAGATTTCCGTAAGAGTCTGGATACCGTGCTGGCAGCAATGAAAGGAACACATGAGAATCCAAAGGTGGTGTCGTATTTGAAGCACTGGGCTTCAACAGAGACAATCTCTG